CCCCAAAACCCCAAAACCCCAAAACCCCAAAACCCCTTAGTTCATGAAGAGCACTGAAAGCTTGATATTAATAGAATTTAATAAAAGATTAAAATGGAAGAGTACGATTTTTATGAAGATTGCTCTGATTCTACTCCTAAGCTTAGGAAAAATGAATTATATCCGAAGAATTCACAGGCATCTTCAACGACTTTGGCAACTTTTTGTACAGATTCTGACTTTATGCAGTTATCTTCAAGCTGTTTACCACAACTAGACAACCAAGATTGAGCAAAAAGCTCTAAGAATATTACTGGAGACACTAATCTGCTTAAAAAGAAGTCTAAGGTAGCTTTGAAGCAGAGAAGGACCAACTCTCAGAAGATCTGAGACCTTGAGTATGGATCTCAATGTAAGTAAACTTGTACTACCCCTCATACACATTCTTGGGAGGGTTTCTCATGATCAGTATTTCATAATAACCGCTAGTACTTCCTCTAGAAATCTCTTTTAATTTTTTAGCTAGTCCAGTTTGGGATTTCGGTGCTTATAATTTCCCAAGTGGATCGTCGTCAATATGAAAATGGCATAACTTATTTTTGTTATAAATGAGGAAAGAAGTTGAGGAGTTAAACCAGACTCAAAACTTTCTCCAATTCATAGGCCCAAAGCCCATGATTAACCTAAGAATTGTTAGGTTTTAATAACCAGTACTTCTTGGGAAATTTTACAGTTTTAAATTCTTAAAACCGTCCAAGAAATGTGTCTATGAAGTATATCATTATATTCCTCAATAAGTTATAAGTCCTTACTGAACTTTTCGTATAGTAACAATGCCGATGATCGGAATTGATGAGGCTAGTAATGAAGAAGAACAGTCTCCAGAACCTAGAAAAAATGGGTTAGGAGTTATTAGTGAAGAAACTGGGGGATATGTCTTTCCAAAAGTCAAAGATACAAAGGAAGTATCCATTTCCAAATTTTTGGATACTTTACAGATCCATCAAGTGTTTCCAAGCGAGGTGAATATGATCAGGCTAAAATTTATGAGCCAGCATGATATCCCAGTGCCTAAGTTATCTTTGAGGAACAACAAGTTGCTTATCAAAAGAAAATCTGATAAGCTGATTACTCTCTCTGGTTTGATGTAACTAACTTAGATTTGGGAAATACAATAATCATTAAGTCATTGTTCAAGATGGCGTCTATTAAGCAAGCATGGTTAAACCTAAGTCTTGCTGTAACTATCATAATTTTTGATAATACCTTCCCACTAATCCTACTAAGTCACCAGGGTCAACCCAAGATTTCTGACCTAAAGCGTCCCTATTCGAGAATGGGGTAATTTCAGAAAATGTACTAGCTTTACTGTCTCTGCCTAAATCCTGTCATAAATTTTAATAGTAGAGTTCACACCCAAGTTAGTAGAAAACAAAGTTTTTATGTATAGATTAGCAACTTAGATAAAGGAAAGGATCAGCTCGACTAGCAAGGCACGTGAGAAATAATTCTTGGCTTAGAGGGCACTTTCCCAACCTAAGCTTAATAATATTCAAATATATTAATTCTTAGTCTAGTATCCATATTTATAGATCATGAACAAATTCTCCTCTCATGAATTTGAAGACGAAATGTTATAATCTTTCCACATTACAAAGCAAGACTTCAACTTTATAATTCAGTTAAAATCTAATTCTTTTAATATGTATAAAACTGAATGAAACTGCTATAGCTATAGATTGGGATTAGATATAAAAAGAAGTAGTCTTTCTTTTATAGTCAAAATACCTCCAATGCATCGTATTTTAGAATTTTGAAGTAATTAATCCTTCCAAAGCCTTCCATAAAAATATAGGCCTTCACTAAAACATGATGTGAAAGCATATACATGGTTGATGACTTTCTGATATAAATTTGAAAATTATCAATTTGTTGCTTAAATAGATACAAATTTCATTGTGATAGTCCCAAAATCTCCAAAATTCATATCTATTTGCTCTAAAATCTCTTAAAATCTTCGATCTGGATGTCTTGCAACTAATCAGAGTCAGTTTTCTACCCCCTTAAGCTCAAAAAGCGTGCTGAGGGTTTATAGGATTAAAATGTTTTCCAATCTGAATTACTCTAAGAGGGGTTTTGGGGTTTTGGGGTTTTGGGGTTTTGGGG